CCATTGCTGTTCATTTCACCCATTGCTGTTCATTTCACCCATTGCTGAGGACCGAAACATTCCCTTTCTCATAACTGCCAGACCTGCAGTGATGCTGGCTGTGTGCTTTGGTTTTCCTTGCTGCTAGGAAAGCACCTTTGGAGCGTGTTGTCCTGATGAAAGCAGGCAGCTGTTAGTGCATCTTTCCTGCTAAATCACACGTGCTGTGTGGATGACTGGAGGGTGATGGAGAATCAGGCACTTGGTGAATGCTGCTCTGTGTTGTAACGTTCAGAACTCACCCTGTGAGGTGTTGTCAGTTTTTGGCTTTTCCAAGGATGCTGTTTGGTTCTGGAAGGAGCAGCAGCCTTAGCTGTCAGTTTGTAGATCATGCTGTGCTTTTCACTGTGTGTTCATCCATCCATCAGTGTGCTTCACCAGGACAGCAGTAATCAGGTGGAGATACATCAGTGCTTCTCCAAGTATGAACCAGATACAAAATTTCTCCTAAGAAGACTACATGAAAAGCTTGTTAACAGCATCATCGCAGTTAACCATCACAGCATCTCCCTCCTTTAGTGAGAGAGCATGAGAAACATGGCTTACAGCTTTTAGGTTGCATAAAATGCACGATTTTTCTTAATTCCTGCATCCAGAATAACTTTTCTCTCTGTTCTACAGGGATTTAAGTCACAATCATATCTTGTCATCCAACTGGAGCATGGATTTGTCTGCTCACACGCTGCAAGAAGTGTAAGCATTTTTCACAATGATAAACTCAGCCTAATTGTAATTAGTGCTGCATACCGAGATAACTGGTCTGACTTGCAGAAATATGCAATACCAGTTAATTTAACATGGATGCTTTGCTGGCAGCGTGTTTTATGTAAAACTGATCTCATAAAAAGAAAACTTTCTCATAAAAGATGAGAGGATACTTGTGAAAAGAAACGAGACGTTTCATAGAATCATAGAATCAGCAAGGTTGGAAAAGACCTAAAATCATCCAGTCCAACCGTTCACCTATTACCAACAGCTCCCATTTGTTTTCACTCTGGCAAATTACGAGTTAAAGAGGAGTGATGGAGTGCAATAAAATGGTGGAAGCTGATGGGCCTCACTGTGAAGTTCTTCCAATTGTTGGTATTTATGCAGTCTGCTTTGTCTGCTGATGTTGGTAAGATGAAATTGCTGAATGTTTGGTGATTGCATTTTCTATGCATGTATGTGGGAGGGGTTTTCTCCTCTTAGTGTCAGTAAAGGTTGTTTTTTGCTTTAAGGAAAATGAATTACAATGAGCTGAGTGAAATTCCCTATTTTGGAGAAACGACTTCCAATATCACCCTGCTCTCACTGTAAGTAACAGCTCAGCTGCTTTTTCCTTGTTCAGCAAATGGGGGAATTGTAGCAGTGCTTTGGGGAATAGCGAGCACTCTTTGGAAAAGTAGGAATCAGTGAGACAACCGAGTCACCCTGAATTACCAACAACGTGCAGTCAGGTACGGCAGGCAGCTTTGAAGGGGAGGAATTGGGTCTTGGAATGACAGTTCCCACAAGGAACAGGATTACAGACACAGAATGTGAATCTGTTCGTGTGTCAGAGCAGCACATAACTCTTGGATTTCCAGTATTGCTTTCAGAAGGAATGTTCTGAAGCGTGTGCTGCGTTTCCAGTTTGGGAGGTGCACTGAAGATGTGCAGCATCCTACAGCTGTTTCAGCTGTGCGGCACAAAGGATGGGATGTTTTGGGACTCATCTCTTGCTGGTGTTTTTCAGGGTGCACAATGCCATTCCAGAAGTAAACGCTGAGCAGCTCCAAGTTTACCTTTCATTGGAAAGCCTGGATCTGAGTTCCAATCTTATATCAGAAATTAAAGCTGCTTCTTTTCCACGGATGCAGCTGAAGTACCTGTAAGTATGTGCTCTGCTGTGCCCGGGGTTCCTGGCAGCAGTGTTGAACACCTCACCTGCTGTGTATTTCTGTCTTAATGTGGGATTTGAGCTGGCAGGAACAAACGTGCCTGAAATAAAATGCTGTTCATAGCAGTTTGTCTTGCTTTTTCTCAGATAGTGTGGAGAGCAGCGCTGTCAGAGTGCTGGTACATCAGCCAGCAGGGACATGGAGTCATTTCTGCTCCTTTGATGCAGATCCTTGTTGACGTTGTTTTAACCTCGCCTAACTGAAGTGTGGGCCTGTGGTTTTGTTCATGGAGTTCTCCATGTTCTAAAAGGTTTCTTTTCCCTCTTCTCCCTTAGGAATCTGAGTAACAACAGAATCAGCACCCTGGAAGCAGGCTGCCTCGATAATTTATCTAGCTCTCTCATAGTGCTGAAGCTGAACAGAAATAGGATTAGTGTGATTCCACCAAAGATCTTCAAATTGCCTCACGTGCAGTTTCTGTAAGTCGTAGTCTTGAGAGCTCACAATGCATTTGTGTTCATTGTGATGTGTGTTCTTGATGATCAGTTGTGCTTTAATATTTTGCTGTCTTTTTTATATAAGGGAACTGAAAAGGAACCGGATTAAAATTGTAGAAAGTCTTACATTCCAAGGCCTGGAGTCCCTGAAATCCTTAAAGATGCAGCGCAATGGGATTAGCAGACTCATGGATGGAGCATTCTTTGGCCTCAATAATATAGAAGAATTGTGAGTATACTTAGTGCTAGAATTTCTCCTAGGGACTTTTGGGGTGTGTGGAGGGGCAGAATCATGTCCTCTTTGGCTTCCCTGACACCAGAGCTGTGCTGGAACAACAACGAGCATCACAGGATATGAGCTTATAGATCTGCATTTTCCCATCATGTTGGTGTGTCTGTTCACTCCGGAGGTGGAGGGATGCTGCCTTTCTGTGCCATGCAGAGTTAGCAAAAGTTTCTTGTTTTGTTTTGTTTTTTAAAGTGATGTTTTAGAGACTGTAATTTTCAGTTCTGCTGGATTGCTGTTGCCATTGCTATTATGATTGTTTTTTTAATATACTTTTGTTCATTCTTGGTTTCTGTCAGATGAATATAATCATGCATTTCGGGTTCTGTAAGGCCTAGTGTCAGTAAATCATTCTGAGATCTACTTGGTAAACTTTGGGAAGTAAATATTTCATTGATTATCTGTTTGGCAAATGTTTTTCCTTCTATTTTCCTTAGAGAACTGGAACATAATAACTTGACAGAAGTAAACAAGGGCTGGCTGTATGGGCTGCGGACACTGCAACAACTCTTCGTAAGCCAGAATGCCATTAACAAGATCAGCCCAGATGCATGGGAGTTCTGCCAAAGACTTGCTGAGCTGTAAGCCCTGGGCTGCTTTTCAGTGGGGATTTTGTAATGTTGCAAATAACATATTGGATAGCACAAATGCAGTGAGTTACTGGAGGAAGTACTTGACTTCTTTGCTAAGCTTGTGTATTTTAGTTTTGTTTTTTTTTTTTAATAAGTCTTCTGTTAGAAATTAAGATTCAGTACTTGATTGTTTGATGGTGTCATCACAATAAATCCCCTCCACATGCCTCTGAAGTGCTGTTCAATGCTTCCAGAGACCTGTCGTACAACCAGCTAACTCGCCTCAGGGAATCTGCCTTCGTGGGACTTGGTTTGCTGGAGAAACTGAACTTGGGAGACAATCGGATCAGTCACATTGCTGATGGTGTCTTCAGAGGTCTGACAAACCTTCGAACCCTGTGAGTGCAGAGCATTTCTGACAACCTCATTTTAAACTTCCTGGAAGTGAAGGTGCTGAGCTTTGCTCTCAGCAAGCCTGAGGTCGGTGTTTTGCTGTCCTGCCTTCAGGTACAACAGGGCAGATCATCATTGGGTGTGCTGAGATGACAGAACCTCGGCATAGCTAACACAAACCAACCATTTTAGTGGTGCTAATGAGCAGTGACTTGATGACCTTGAGCTCTCGGTTGCATGCCATACCAGGTGTGAGGAGGTGCAGACAGTCAGCTTGCAAAATGCCAGCCTGGACCTCTCTTTACTCCAGGTGTTGTTCTTAGGGTTGGAACCTGCTGGCTGCTGTGTGCATGCAGGAGTCACAGCACAGCATGTAGGAGAGCTGTAGGATTACTCCTTTCCATCAGAGGCACAGCTCTGCTTTTGCCAGGACCTTTGTCACCAGCTGAAGCTGTTCAATACTGCTGACAGGACCCAAGTATTAATTAAAAAAACAACCAAAAACCTCAAGTAGATCCAAAGTAGATCATCCTGAACAAAGATAGTTGAGAAAAGAGTGAAAGTTTATAACCCCTCTGTCAGTTCATTAAATAAATGCTTAAATAAGCAAACTTAGCAGAGAAATTTATGTAAGCAGTCATATTCTGTTAACCTTACTGCAACCTTTTAATGAAATAATTAGAACTAATTTCTTAGATTTAGAGTAGCATGAAAGAAGAACAAGAGCAGATTAATTAGTCGGTTTTCCCGGGCTCCTCAGGGGCGAGGAACAGCTGAAAGGGTGCAGTCTGCTTCAGGCTGGAATTTGCAGGACAGCAGCTCCAAGCATTCGTGCCCAACCAAGCAGAAGGAGCAAACTCCTCCTCTCACACAATGAGGGGCTTTTCTTTCGGGCTGCTCACTCATTTTACTGAGCAGTTGAAGTAGTGGAGTGTGAAAACACTTCAAACAAGAGATACTGTGCTGCTGTCAGATTGCTTCCATTGTTGCTTGTATGTGATTTGTTTCAGTGCTGAGACTGGCACAAGTGTTTGTGTGTTCAGCCCCTGCCACCGTTCTGCATGGTCGCTTCGGTGACCAGGAACAAACTCAGATCTGTACGTAAAGCCAAAGTACCAGGAGCACAGTGAGATCAAAGGTGTATTGAGGAGCAGCCCTGAAGTTTGAGACTTTAGAACTTCAAAACATTAATTGCTGCTTCAATACTGTAACTTGGCACTGCTGCTGCTCTGGCACTCAGAATATAAGATTCTGAAGCAGACCTGGAGAGAATTCAAGGAAATAGTTCAAATCCTAAGAATTAGCAACTTGGGAATGAGTTTGGCATATTACTCATCTAGTTGTTTTTATCATTAGATCATATCTGTATCCAGTACATTAAACTGAACACATTCCAAAGAGGAAAATATCTTAATGTCAGCAACTGCTAAGGCTGCACTGGAGTCCCTGGGGTACACGAATGGTGGAATCACAAGCACTGTTATTTTTGTCCTGAACTTTAAAGTCCACCTATAGCAGAAATGCCTCACGCAGGGTATTGAGGACAAGGCTTCTGTCATTCAAAGTGAGAAAGTGTGATAGCCCTGGCAGCATCCTGGAGATTGATCCTGGTCTCTTCCAGAGCATTAATCCACACGTTTACAACCCCCCCCCCCCCCCAAGGGAATATGGATGCTGCCTTTTTCCACCCTTAGCAAAAGGAGAGTAGCATTATATGAGATGATGCACACAACTGTGTGCCTAGTTAGCATTCTGTGTCACAGCTTCTTTGGAGGGTCCATTGAGCTGAGGCACGTAGTGATATCTGGTAAGGTGCAATATAAACTGTTTTTCATCTGTTTATCTTCCTTTGAATACTTCTGTCTGCAAATTCTTCTGTGCACAGTGGTTTTAAGGCACAAAGTTTTGGCTTTATCAGTAGAAACTCTTTATTTAGTCCATGCCATTCTGCCTGAAAATTTCTGAATTTATTTCACCTTCTCTCTAAAAAGCATTTGATCCTTCCAAGCCTGTTCTGCTCTATTGCTTTCACTGCTTAGACCACACTGTTCTGTGTGAGGGGCAGAGGGGCTGTGCAGAGATCGAACAGAAATCCCATTAGCTTGTAACAAGATTTGTGAGCAGAATATCAACTTCAGTCTGAAAATCTACTACTTTGTGCCTGGCAGCCTTGCTCCATAACCTGTGTGTAATCTCTTAGCATGCTAATGCTGTTTTAAGCCTGTTACTCAGGGAGGTTAATGCTGCAGTGGATTGGTTAACTTGCTTGCATGAACCAACTTGCTGCAGGAGCCTCTCCCAGCTCCTGGTGAATGGTCCATCACGTGAGTGCTGCTCGTCAGGCTGGGTCTTTCCTTAAATACCACATCAAGAAATCACACTTCACAATTCATTTGTGGTTCTGTCTGAGGCGCTGATCTCCAACAAATCTGTTTTCCCTCGTGTCTCTCAAGTTGGATGTTCTGATAAATACAGATCTATGAAAGTTCTGAGACCTTCCAGGTGACGCTGTCCCATGGAATCATAGAACACCCCAGGCTGGAGGGGACCCATGGGAGTCATCACGTCTGACTCCAGGCTGCACACAGGGCTGCCTAGAAATTCCAACGTGTGTCTTAAGAGCGTTTTCCGAACGCTTCTTGACCTCCAGCAGGCCTGGTGCTGTGACCACTTTCCTGGGGGGTCTGTTCCAGTGCCTGATCCTGAACACCTTTCCCAGGCAGTAATATAACAGTCAGTTTTCTTCCATAGCTAAGCACTAGCAGTGGTCGTGATGATGTTGCATGGTTTGTAAGAAGATTTTTCTGCTCCTGCAGGGACTTGGGGAACAATGAGATCTCCTGGGCCATAGAGGATGCGAATGAAGCATTTGTGGGACTCAGCAGGCTGGATAAACTGTATGTATTACAAAACATCAGTGACAGTGCTTCAGAAGCAAACAAAAGAGGGAAAATGCAAAATATAGAGTAATTGTGAATGGCAGAAAGCCTTTCTGGTTGGCAGCTGAGTTTCCCCTTCTATGCTAGGACAACTCAGTGTAGATTTGGGTTCCGTGTTCGTGACCACTGAGTCTGTGTAGTGCTGGATCATTTTGCAGGACCAGTTTGAAGAAGTCACTTGGCTTGAAGAAGGCATTTGAATGCAGCTGTTACTGAATAGCTCACTTGTGCTGTGTGGTGACTGTCACTCTTTGTGCCTTACTTTAGGAAAAACTTGATATTTCTCTGAAGGAAGGGGGGGAAAAAAAGTATTGTTGAGCAAATATGAAACAGCATTCAATTATCAGCTTTTCAGTACTTTGGCACTCTGTTCAGTGCTGTGAGCTTTGTAGGAAAATAAAGCATTCTGTGGAACTGCAAACACTGCTTGTGACAAACAGCATAAGTGTGCAGCCTCAGGAGCTGATGTGGCTGTGGCAGATTAGGAGCTTGTTGCTCCCTCCCAAGAACTGTTCTGTTCTGCTGGTTTAATTTTCTTCTGGCCCATCTCAAAGATAGAAAAGAAAAATACTATCCTTAAGAAAATAAAATGATTGAATACTACTTTTTTGAGCTTAAACTCTCCTAGAATGAAGAAAACCTTTGTTAAACATCTTAGGGAACTTTGGGTCTTACTTATGAGCTCGCCTTGAGATTGACTGCTTTCTGGGCTTGGTACTTGTGTTGCAGAATCTTACAAGGAAATCAGATTAAATCAATTACGAAGAAAGCATTCTCTGGTCTTGAAGGACTTGAACATCTGTAAGTACTTTGCTCTGTAGAACTCCTAGTTGTTTATTGCTTTCAATTTTGTATTCTCTCTCAAGTTTACAATGATTTAACTGAAGGTAGCGTGTGAAATCATTCCCACCCGTTGTTGTTCCTTGCAGAGATTTAAGCAACAACGCAGTAATGTCCATCCAAGAAAATGCATTTGCCCAGGCTCAACTGAAGGAGCTGTAAGTCTATGACAGTTCTTTACAGTTCTTACAATTCTTCCTTTTGTAAAGAATCCATCAGCCGTTGTGGAACTGACTGATGTACATCCCACTCCCATAACAGAAGAGTTAAAGTTCTTGTAACTTACCTGCTAAAAGTCCCTGGCACTACACTAAGCTTGATTTAGGGCTTGACATTTCCTGACTTATAATCAGAATTGGTGATCTGTATTTGTGAATAAATTGTTCACCAGGATTTTTGGGGCAGGGGGGAGGTTATCAAAACATACATTTTGTCACCACCTTTTTCAGGCTAGGGAAAGACCTTAAAATTCACAGCTAGGCAGATTTTAGATGCTCAATGGATGCTTAAGCTGCTATAGAGCTTCTTGTCATCTTCAGACACGTGAAGTATGATGACATGAAGTGACCTTTGCACCCAAGACTAATCCCAGTGTAACACAGTTGTCTCTATGAGATAAAGTCTCTGAATATCATGTAATCTGTTTTAAAACTGCTATCTGGTTAGCATTGGCCATATGGACTGTTAGTCTGCAAGGTCTGCTAGTCTGAGGAAGGTGAGGAGAAGCACACTTACGTGTGAGCACAAAAGAATGCTGTAAATCTTACAACTTCTGGAAGTATGTGCTTTAAAATTGTTCTTCTGGGTGAAATGCATGACCTTTGATCACATTGCGTTTTGCCTTCCTTCTGCAGGGTTTTGAACACCAGCAGCTTGCTCTGTGATTGCCAGCTGAAGTGGCTGCCACAGTGGCTCGCTGACAGTCACTTCCAGCAGGCTGTGAACGTCAGCTGTGCTCACCCTGAGTGGCTGGCAGGGCAAAGCCTGTTCAGCGTGGAGCCCGATGACTTCGTCTGCGGTTTGTATTTTTAATTCCTATTGACATCAAAACGTAGTAATGCAGATCTGTGCAGGTGTCTTCCTGAAACCAGGCTGCAGCACTGCTGAAGGTGCTTGGTCTGTGTCATTCTGTGAGACTGCTTTGTTTTTCATTCAGATTACTGTTTAAAAACTGATTGTGTTTCCGTTTCTCCTGTGTGTGAATGCCTTTTGCTTTACAAGAGGTGTTTGGCTAGGACAGTTAATGCTCTGACGTAATTTCTGATGCTCAGAATCTGTAACGTTTATCTGGTCTCTGTGCTGCCACAGTTTCAGACATGAGCCTATTTATTTCTGTAACCAAACTGTGAAATGGAAAACTGAGAGACTGCCCACAGTCATGTGTGAAGTCTGCGGCAGAGCTGGAAATATACTGCTCTTCTGTTATCCAGTAGTCTAACAAGTGTTGCTTTTGCATACATAATTCTTTAATTGTTTTGGTGGTAAAGGATACAATAATCACCATGTAGGCACAAACATCTGCTTCTCCATTCTGATGTTACCAACGTTGAGTGCTGTGTGCCTGTGAGGCTGTCTCTGCTGTAGTGAGAGGTGTCAAAATAACTGCTCAACTGAGATCATGTAAACTTCTTGCAGTGCTTTGTGTTTGTGTAACTTAAAGGCTTTTCAGGATATTAAACTGCCTGAAAATAAATCTGCTCCTCGTGAGCAAACCCAGCTCTTCAGCTGAGCATGCAGTCTAAATAGGGCGAGTTCCAGAAGGCTGTGGAAAGGAAAGGGCTGCTCGAGTCTGTGATTCTGCACTGATTGTTCTCTGCTTCTCCTGCACTCCTACCTGTGGTTCTAATCCTCTTTCACAGCTTGATTTCTAAATAAAAGCAACTAAATACGTGCCTCCCAAGCAGGACATCTGTTCCTGCAGCTTTCATTCTGCTTACTGTGTCTTTCGAATGAGTTTTCTTGCAATATTAATTGCACGTGGAAGAGGAGAGTAGCTAATCTTGCTGCTTTCATTTCCAGATAATTTCCCTAAGCCACAGATACGAGTGCATCCTGAGACCACGATTGCTCTGCGTGGCATGAATGTGACTCTGACCTGCACTGCTGTGAGCAGCAGTGATTCACCCATGTCCACTGCGTGGCGTAAGGACAGCGAAGTGCTGTATGATGCAGAGGTTGAGAATTTTGCCAGGTATCAGCAGCAGAATGGTGAGATTGTTGAGTACACCACTGTCCTCCACCTTTTCAATGTGAATTTCACCGATGAAGGAAAATATCAGTGCATCGTCACCAATCACTTTGGCTCCAACTATTCTGACAAAGCCAAGCTGACTGTTAATGGTAAGTGATAATGGTAACGTAGAAGAAACATCTGAGGTTAAAAGTGGAGCAGGTCTGATTCTGACCCTTTCTTTTTTGATTTATAACATTTATTAGGATTCCTTAGTTCCCAATTAGAGCAGGCCCAATGTAGCTGTGCAGTGATGTCTTGCTGGAACTTAGATTTCTCAAATACCTTTTAATAAAGCAGGAAAGAAGTAATGTTGTTAGTGGAAGGCTTTCTGTTCAGTTCTGGAAAGGGGCAGGTATGAAAGCACGGGAGGTTTTAGCTCAGTTAGCTGTTGATCTGTCTGAGTGGAAGTAAAGTCTCTTAACTAAAAGCTCCCTCTGCTGTCCCTTCATTAACTAAGCACCTTGCCCTAGAGAAGATTGAACAAAAAAAAATTGCTTGTGGTACTGGAAACAAACTCTGAAAAATCATTTAATGAATTTCTTTGTTATATATATATATATTTTAGCCAAAATGAAGGGTTCCTATTATTTTGACTTCAGAGAAGGGCGTTGGGAAGGCAGCATTCATATCAGCTAGCAAACCACTGTTCCCTGTTATGTTGGAGAGCAGAGGTGCCCGTGCTCTTTCTTTTGGTTCCATAGAAAAGATAATGCAGACTTCAACTTTGGAAGTGGAAGTTCACCTTCCCTGTTACCAAGGAAGAGAGAATGGCTTGGATTGGAAGGATCCTCAGGGATCAAGTTCCAAATCCCTGCCACAGGCAGGATTGCCAGGAGCTGGATCAAGTACTCACTCAGTTGCTCAGGCCTCCATCCATCCTGGCCTCGAATGCCTCCAGGGATGGGGCATCCACAGCCTCTGGGCAACCTGTTGCAGCCCCTCACCACACTGTCGGTGAAAATCTCCCCCTCTTTTAGTTTAAAACCATTCTCCTCTGTCCTTCCAGTCTAAAAAGTTGATTTCCTTTCTGTTCGTAATGTCCCTGTAAATACCAGAAGGCCACAATGAGGTCTTCCTGCAGCCTTCTCTCCTCCATACTGGCCCAGCTCCTTCAGCCTGTCTTTTCCCCATGAAATGTCCTACAGATCTTAAATAAACACCACAGATACCATACTGAGGTACTGTATTTAAATTTGAAGGCTAGGCTTTTAGAAACGACCACAGAAAGTTAGTGCAGTTCTTCAGAAGGCTCTCCTTCGAACAGGAAGAAGTAAAGGTGCATTGCAGATTTGTGTATTTTCAGCTATTCTGTGCTGCAGTGCTTTTGCTGCTTTTTCTTTCTCTCTTCTTTTTTTCCCCTGCTGCTGAAAATAGCAAAGCTTTTAATGTCTCTCTTGATCCAGAGCTGCCTTCCTTCCTGAAGACCCCCATGGATCTCACAATCCGCACTGGGGCGATGGCCCGACTGGAGTGTGCTGCAGAGGGCCACCCCACCCCTCAGATCTCCTGGCAGAAAGATGGTGGCACAGACTTCCCTGCTGCACGAGAGAGGAGAATGCACGTCATGCCTGAGGACGACGTGTTCTTTATTGCAAATGTGAAAATAGAAGACATGGGCATCTATAGCTGTATGGCACAAAACGCTGCTGGGGGTTTGTCAGCAAATGCTACACTGACTGTGTTAGGTAAGAGATTGCTGGCATGGATCATTTAACTGAACTTGTGTGGTTTATCTGTGAGTAGCAGGCTTAACTCCTATAGAAAGAAGTTAAAATATGAAGAAAATAGTTTCTTCTACCTCTGGTTGAAGTTGGTATTCTATAATAAGGAAAAAGAGAAGACTGTTTTTTGCCCCTGTAGTTGCACCACAAGCCTCCCTGTCCACCAAGCTTGAAATTTAAATGTTCTGCCTCTGGAAGAACATCTCTAACTGCTTGGCAGGGGTTGGGGGTGTTTGAATACTGAATCCTATGCTTCATTGCAAAAGTTTGCATTCAGGTTGTAAGGCTGGACTTTTATATCATGGAATACACAGTGGGGTTGCACCGTGAAGTCATCTTACAGTTGTTCTGTTTGTTTTCTCCACTGCCACAGAAACTCCTTCCTTTATTAGACCCTTGGAAGACAGAACAGTGACCAGAGGTGAAACTGCAGTCCTGCAGTGCATAGCTGGTGGCAGCCCTGCCCCTCGCCTCAACTGGACTAAAGATGATGGACCTTTGGCTGTCACAGAGAGGCATTTTTTTGCTGCGGCCAATCAGCTCCTCATCATCGTGGACGCTGGGCTGGAGGATGCTGGAAAGTACACCTGCATTATGTCCAACACGCTGGGCACTGAGCGTGGGCACATTTACCTCAATGTGTTGGCTTCCCCCAACTGCGACTCGTCCCAAAATGGCATCGTCCACGAGGAAGATGGTTGGACGACAGTAGGCGTTGTGATCATCGTCGTGGTTTGCTGCGTTGTGGGAACTTCCCTGGTGTGGGTTATTGTGATTTACCACATGAGAAGGAAGAGTGAAGATTACAGCATCACTAATACAGGTAGGGTACCACAGCACCGTGCTTCAGTCACGTTTCCAATCCAAAACACAAAAGGTGAAATTTCTGGTTTTGTTACGGCTGAATAGGATGAAAGGTTTAAAGATTTCCTTCTAAAATCTCTTAAGGGATTCACCTCAGATTCACCTTCCAGGTGAAGAGGCAAGCATAGAATGATTTGTTTATTTATTAGATATCAGCAGTGTATTTTATTTCTTACACGCTGAATTTGTTCTACGCTGAAGGAAAGTACAAGAGGTTTGGAAATGGATGTTTGAATTAAGTTAAGGTCTTTAGGACCTGTGTTGGGGCCCTGTTAGTTTTGAACTAGCTATATGGAGTTGTCATCAATGACTTAAAGGTAACAGTGCCCTTAAGGTGCCTCCTCACCCTCCGCTGAATTCTGAAATTCTGTGTGCAGTTTTGTTAATGTGGCACTGAGCTCTTCACAACATCAGTGTGAATTCTGCCTTGCAGAGGAGATGAACCTACCTGCTGACATTCCCAGTTATTTATCCTCCCAAGGAACGCTGTCAGAGCCTCAGGAAGGATACAGTAACTCAGAGGCAGGAAGCCATCAGCAGCTCATGCCTCCAGCCAGCAGCTACGTGCACAAAAGCACAGATGGTAAGCAACGTCCTCACGTGTACTGCTTGCATTCAGCAGGGCGCCAGGGCTGTAGTCCTCGTAGCTGGCAGCAGTGTTGCACAACGTAGGGCAGTGCTGCATGTTAACATCAAAGGTGACTTTCCTTAGAGAAGAGTTGAGGTTGATCACAAAGCATCCATTGAATGTTTTGAGTTTGAAGCATCTCCTGTTTTTCTTTCAGTATTTACATTCTCCGATCAAAGCTGCTGCGTTCCATGCAGGTGATCTTTGGTCCAGCAATATCTGGGCTCACATCTGCTCTGAGTGCTTTTACATATAGATGTCACAACTGCCAACCTTCAAGTCCCAGAGTAGAGCAGTTGCCTAAAGAGGCTTCTTGATTCAGGGTTTGTGATTTGTCCAGCACTGCCGTTAGAGCTCCTCTGTTCAGTGGAGTTTTGTGCTGCTCCTTTCCTTTGGCATCTCGAAAGTCAAGGATAAGCCATGAAAGTTGATGGAAATCAGGTGTTCTTGTCCTCTTGAGAGCATTCTATTTCCTTCCATTGCTCAGGTGGCACAGCACCACTGGTGATCTGCTCAGACTGTTACGACAATGCAAACATCTACTCCAGGACACGAGAGTACTGTCCCTACACCTACATCACAGAGGAGGACCCCCTGGATCCAACTCTCCCTAATCTCATGGTGCAGATGCCCAAGGAAACATACCCAGCACACACCCAGCATGAGACCAGTGCTCTTGATAATGCTTTTGGAGACAGAGACATGTCTGTCTTCCTTACCAGTCACGACAGAATAAGTGAGAAGAAAATCTCTTCCCAGCAGATTAATGGTGAGCGTGTCCTTTTCCCTCTGAATAATTTTGTATTTTCTGATATTGCTGACCTTCCTTGTGCTGCTTTCCACTGTTGATTCACTGCTAATTCTACAGACTGCATGGTGTGTGGAGTAATTCATCTGTTGATGCACCACTTGTTAGCAGAACCAGCCCTCAGTTTGCATGCAGTATGCAAGAGTTGAAGAGGACGATGTTACAAAAGCTGTGTTTCTTAGTGTGCAGTCCACCTTTACAGCTTGTGGGATGGGATCCCTTCCACATCTGTTGGCCCTGATTTAAAACATCACATAGGAAACACAGAGCCATCCTGTGTGAGCTGGGCTGAGTTTCAGCTAGCTCCCAAAGAATTATTTTTGTAAATTGATTGATTTTCGTGTGGACTTTTTTCCAGGTCGCCTTTGTAAAAATTCACACTGGAACTGTTTGTTATTTTTGTGTTACTGTACCAAATATTGCTGAAATGAGAGGGCATCCAGCAAAGGGTGCCCTCAAAAACAGAGAGAGCAGCCTCAGGAGGAGGTTCTTGCTAAACAGCACGACTCAGAAAAATCTAAGCCTTGTGTTTGCTTACCATGAACCCACTCTGTTCATCTCCTGCTGTTTCTTTTTCAGAACCCTTCCAGCTTCCCTTATGGGCGGTAAACAAAGACCTGGCGCTCTCCCACTCGCACTTTCTGCAGCAGCAATCGGCTCGTGAGGCCCCACGACCTCTTCGAACTGAGGGGATCCTTGACAGTGAGAGGGAGCAGGCTGCTTCACCCAGAGCCCTGCACAGGTTACGTGAGCATAACTTTGATTTTAATAGGACACGGAACATTCGCGACTACAGCGAAACCACGTAAGGCACAGGAATGGAGCCTTGGAAGCAAATCCCTATCAGCTGACTTGTATTTCTACCTCAGGACTAAACTCTAGGCCAAAGATGCTTTAAACGTGTGTCTGCAATTCCAGGCTGCCTGAGCTGAGGCAGACCCCCCCCCTGGCAGGAGGTGGCACTGCCCTTTTTGCTTGGATTCGTGTGTGCTGCAAGGTGGGACAGAACAGGCAGTGATCAGTGACTGGCGTTACAAAGTGGATCTTCTGATGTTGGGAACAGCCTTTGTGTTGGTGCATGCTTTGAAAATCTCTCAAGAATGCATAGCTATTTCACACCACATTGTCTGCTTGAAAACAAATGTTCAAGGCCTCCTCATGGAATTCCCCAGTAATTGTAAGCATAAAACTTTTGGCCAGCTTTTTGTTCCTCGGTCTGTTGGCAGGCGTTTGTTACCAGTCTCACTTTGGGGCTGTTTTTTCCCTATGAAAAAACAAACTCTAGTTGTAAATAAAGTTGCATTTATAAATATTTTGTACACACTAAGCATGTAAATGCCTTGGCTGTAATGTAAATATATTTTTTATTATGCCAAAGTATGTATTATGCTGTTGGTCTTGACAGCTGCATAGCAAGCCGTAATTTGTTTTGTGGGATTGAAAGCTCAGTTCTGAAGGGATAAAGATGACTTTGTTTTGGAAAGAAGTGAATTTACAACAGGTACGTAGTGAAACTGTGATACTGATGAATTTCATTGCTGCATGCATCTCTGTGTGCATTGAGCTTGGCTGACCTGCCTGCAGGCTGATCCGTTTCGTTAGCAGAATTCCAAGTCTGACCATTCCTGTGGTGAGTCCTTAATTTCTGTACTAGGCAGCCTGTCTTTTCCAGTAGAGCCTAAAGCCCAGCAGGCCCTGCATTAACAGCTAGCCTGCTCCAGCCTCCAGTGCTATCCAACTTCTCAGGAGTTTCTGTAGTAACAAACAAGTATGGTACACAAAACAGTTTTCATCTGCTAAAACAGCTCTAAGATGGGACCTCTGAGTGGTTTGGTTCAGAAGTTTATCTGAACTGCTGTCTTTACAAAGCCTTTGTGTTGTGCATGTTGCAGGGAGGCACGTGTGCATCTTCCATAGCTGACAGCTAAACGAACTTCTGAAAGGAGTGCCCTGATGAAAGGCATGGGGTGAGTTGGAAAAGCACGTGATGAATGCTCCACGAAATCCAGAATGGATTTTCTGTTTCCTCTGCGCTGCCAGGAAGCACGTGGGCCTTTTCTTTCATAAAAGGGCAACGGGATTCTTGCTCTGTTAAACCCTATAAAGGCTCTGTAGGCCACAGCGTGGTCAAGATGTGAAGCATTTGACAGGTGAGCTGTTAAACAGCAGGAGAACCACTGTTGAAAATGCAGCCCTTGCTGGGACAAATAGAAGAAGTGCAGAAGCTTCGCAGGTTGCAGTGGAGTGTGTGTGACAAACTGAGGAGGGAGAGCATTACAAAGACTTGTTCTGAGTTGTTCTTCTGGGAAAACACATCTTTGTGTTTTGTGTGACGTCCCATCAGCGATGGGCTTTGAGCAGAATGTTGTGCTCAGAGCTTGGGGTGCTTCAGTGCCTGAAGAGCTCGGGGGTTTCTGTCTCTGCTCTGCTTTTTCCAAGCCATGGGCTACAGACCGAGTGAGAGCAGCTGTGTGGTATGGCTAGAAAGACAGAACCTTCCTGGGGCAGCCCAAGCTGTGGGTCGGGATTCCCACTGCTCCATTCCTGCACAGCGTGTGACTGAGGGCTCTGATGCAAAATCGCAGCTGAAAACTTTGGAGACTGGGGAATGGTTAAGTGAAAGAGCCAGGAAATGCTGGGAAAAATATTTTCCCACGTCTCTTTGGGCCTGAATAGTAGATGTATGTAAATGAGCAAATGTTACTGAGGGCTCTTACCTTTGTTTTGAAAGCAAAGGCAGTTGCCTTGGTAGCCAGCAGCTTCAGTAGGAAGAGGACCTCATTGTCTTTGACCTTTGTATGAAGTGGGGAAGGAGGTGTGTTAAACTCGGCCTCTGACCTCTCAACTATTGTAAGGACTTAGACATAACATACCAAGAATTGTGTGTTTGTTTCTTTCTGGTTTGGTTTTCTCCAGGCTTTTCCCTTCCAGACAGCATTGAAGACATTGTGGTTATTTTCTATCCCAACTTGTTTCTGTTGCAGGAGCTGTCAGTTTAAATTCAAATGAGAAAGGTCAGGTCATAAAACTGCAGCAGCAGCACAGAGCTTCCTGTTGGACTGCTGGCTGCAGCTATTCACACAGGCTGATGTGGCAGAGCTCTGCTCAGCACGAGCAGGAAAGCAGCATCCCTACTGCTGCTGCTTGGTCTGCCATCATCCTTTGGGACATGTTGAAGTTTTCCTTCCATCCCTCTTTGGGTTAAGCTAACACAGGTCTCAGCTCGCTTGGTTTAAGTGTTGATGTTGGTGTGCACGAGGGGCACCCAGAGCTGGAGTGTTCTTAATGCACAGCTCTGCAGCACGACCAAATTCACACGAGGTTGGCAGGATGTGGTTAGCCAGGAGCAAAGCTTTAGCATCGTGCTGCCTGCACCAGAACAAGCTGAAGCCTGAGCTCTGAAATGCATTTAGGAGTTAAAGCTGCTCTGATTTCTAGAATAATTCACCCATAAAAGCTGCCATTGTGAATTAGGACGCTTGCATCCTTGCAGCAATGCAATCTCTGTGAAGTCCATAAGCTGGTTGTGAATAGCTGAAGCTTGCAGGTAGGTGAAGGAAGGCCTGCACATGAAGATCAGGGGTTTCTTCCTTTCCTCCATGACGTGCAGGCAGTGCAGTGGCCGTTCTGATTTCAGTAAACAGTTTCTTCAATCAATGCCAAAGTATTCATGGCAGGGAATGGGGGGCTGTGTGATCAAAGCTGCTCTGCTTCCCTGTTGCTATTTCCTACTATTTTTTTTTCCTCACGTAAGAATGTATATTTTGTATAGGATGTGTAATATATGTTTGTCTATTGTAACATACCTTCAATAAAATGCTATGTACACTGAGTATCCATTGTAATTTTCATTAGTTTGCAGACTAAATAATGTATTGTTATTGAATGATATTTAATTTTTATAGGGGGGAGAATAAAGTCAACTTCATAAGTCAGTTTCAGGTGAGATTCTGATCTTTTTACTGTGGATGTTACATCAGTCCTTTGCTGTAATGGTGGGAAGAACAGCTGGCATTAAGCCTGGCTCAGTCAGCTGGCACACGTGGCAGCAAAGTGATGCTGGCGCCGTGCAGCCCTTCCTCAGAGCGTTGCCCACCAGCTGCCATGCCTCCTACAAGCTGGTGTAAGTACTTCTTTCCCTCCTTCAGATACCTTTCCCTGTTCCTATCGCTGTAACTCTGTGTTCTGACCAACACCTTGGCAGTTCCTGCCCTCTGTTTGGCACGCTTTCTCCACTTTACCTTGGCAGCAGCTGCTTGGTGGGGCTCAGCCCTGGGTCCCTGCGCAGCTCTGTGCTGCCTGCACTGCGCCTGCCAGCACTGCTCCCCCAGGCAGAGCAGCATCACCTCTGTAGGACCTTCATGCAGCAACCACAAAGCTGTACGTAAATGTGTGTTCCTTTGCTTTTTCAGCAGGAGTTAAAGGGCTGCCCTTTTCCTGCATGGAGGCTCTGGGCTTTGCGTGCCCTCTGACCCGGGTTCCTCGCTGCCCAGCTCTTACTGGGCACTGAGCACAGCTGCCTGCCTGCCCAGCTGCTGTGAGATGCATGCTGATGTTTGTGAATTCACACAGTGTCTGCAGCATCCCCTGGAGATCAGCTCTTTGCACGCTCCTGTTTTCAACCCGCTGTCATTGCAGGAAGGCATCGGTGCTGTGAGGCTGCAGGGAGCAGTGGGACCTCACCTGTGCTGGGATCAGCTCAACACGGCGTGCAGGAAAAACCAGCTATCACCTCTCCTGGTGAGTTCAGCCCTCCCAGGTTCACCGTGCACATCGCAGCCCTGGCACGGTGTCAGAGAAGCAGAAGCTATTGAAGATAAGATCATGAATAGTTAATGCTCTCAGTTACCCAAGCATATTTAAAAATTAACACTGCAGCCTGGTTGAGATGAGATGAAAAAAAAAAGAGAGAAAAAAAAAACAACCAAAAACTGGGTCATCAAAGGGAGGGGAAAACCAGAAAACAATTGCATCTACCCTTGGGCTTTGCTAACAACTGAGTTTTCGTGGAAGATCCCATCCCTTGCTTGCTCTCCCTCTGCATTTGGCAGTGCAGCAGCTCCCATCCTGGCCCTGCAGTGCTACCAGCACAGCTCTGCCTTCCTCCGGTCAGGAGGTCAGTGTGGGTGTTAAGGAAGCTCCTGCCCCAGGGGCTGGGCACAGCACAGGGCAGTTCCCTGCCTCCCATCCTGCTGTGCTGCAGGGAGCAGTGGCAGGAGGAGCTGCGGTGGGATTCAGTGTTGGCAGAGCTCTGGCAAACCCATGGCTTCTGGTTATCCCCTGTTGTCCCTGCAGCTGGGCGCAGGTCCATCCCGGGTTCCTCTCTGCAGGGAAATGGAGCATGATGATCACCACCACTTATCTCATTTTCTCCCCACAAGAAGCAATCGATCTGCGCTGCACAGGCTTTGTGCTGATTGATCCGTGAGTGTTTATGGGCAGGCAGGGACTTGCACCAAAGCTCTGTGTGCCCTTTGGGAGGCTCTGTCTGCCCTTCTGCCTTCTCCAGCCTGCCTGCAGTGCTGCCCACCCATGCCGGGGCCCGGCGTGGTTCCTGGGCTGCGCTCTGTGCCACGTGCAGTGTGTCACACTCACAGCCACATGGCTGCCCTGGGGTCTCTCTGTGAGTTCTCCTCACTGTGTTTTTCCATAGGTCCTGGCTGTATTTTGTGTCTGTGGGGCACTGCCAGGAGTGTGTGCTGTGCAGGGCTCTGCATTCTGCCACGTCCCAGCTGGGGCACAGCAGAGCTGTGGACCCCAGGCTGCGACTTGCAGCTCTCACCTCCAGCTCAGCCCTTGGTGAAGGCAGATCTCTCCTAAATGAGATCCTCCTGAGCAATAAGTCGTGTGTAGCACAGGGGATCACTGCTCTGCTCCTTGCTTTGAGTGAGGGTTCGATTTCATATTACGCTTAATGTCTCATCCGAAGACTTACGTGTGTAATTCATCCCAGCATTTAGAAAAATCCCCCGTATCCACGCTCAGATTCACTGCTGCTCTGGCTCTGCTCAGCGCTGAGTGCCATCGAGCGCTGCTGTGATTTGTGGGTTGCCAAAGGGGATCTCAGGATGCAGAAATAAATGTGCCCTGCTCGACGAATGGCGAGGAGCCCGCAGAGCCCTGGCAGCACTCAGCCCAGCCTGGCATTGCAGGCTGGATCCCTCCAAGAAATTTTAATTAACTTAAAACAAATGCGCAGGAAAGGGCCAGCCATTAGCTGCTATTGCTTCCTGAGTCTCATCTCTGCTAATTAACAGCGTGTCAGTGCAAACGACCTACAGATAGCAAAGCACCGAATTTGCATTTAAATTAAAAACCATATTTTTAAAAAATAAAGGTTTCGTGGCGCCCTGATTGTTTGTCTTTCCAGCATCCCCGTCCTGCCTCCCCCCAACCCCAAGGGATGGGTGCTGCACAGGGGCACCTGGCTGCCCTCTGCCACGCTGCGCTGCCCAGCCTGACAGCTCTGATTTCTTTCTCCTGGTTAGAGAACATGAGGTTTTTGACAGCTGCCTTTGCCATTATTCTTCCCTTAATGCTGTTGTTGTTTTGCGTTACTGTCAAATCACATCTTATTAAAGTTCTTCCCATCCTGTCAGTAGCAGAGCTGAGGAGTGCGGATGCCTGCGTAATCTCCCAGCTCTGTCCGGGGAAATTGCTTTCCATTACTGATGGAGCAGTGCTGAAGGATGTGACCCAGCCACGCTGGGGGCTGCAGGCCCTGCCAGACCCCCACGGCTCTGCAGCAGCTCTGGCTCATGGGGTGCAAACGCCGGGAAGCGAGCGCTGCCAGGGCAGGGCATGCAGGGTGAGGGCAGCGTCCCGTGGCTGCCAGTGTCCCATTTCCAGATCAGATTCTGATCAGCTGTTGGGCTCTGGTTACTCTCTGTTCTCTGGGAACTGTCACACCTTTGCAAAGCCACTGACGCTTCCCACGGCTTGCTAAAAATTCCGTAGCACCAAAGCAGTTCTTCTGGCTTCATTCAGCTCCTGCCAGTAGAGCACAGGGCATGGCGGGGAGCCCGCAGACCGGAGGCACCTCCTTGGTTTTGTGGCACAGGAATGTGGGCATTTCCCTTGAGCTCGTTCTGTAGCTGCCCGAAAGAGCTGGATTGCAGGGCCTGGGTCTGTGCCAGCCCTGGATGCTACTGCTGGTGCTGTGGGAGTGTCTCCTTCGGTTGTTTGCATCCTAGGTCTGAGGGGACCATGGTGGCACAGTGTGGTGATGGATGGGGCCGGGATCTGCACACTCAGCAGCAGCCCAGCAAAGCGGGTTGGTTGGAAGTCACTGCAGCAAGCACAATGTTTTTGCTGATAAATCTTGTTTGTAGATCAGCTGCATGCCAGACTGGTAAATAATGCATCTTATAGATGAAAACACTGTTCAAATGAGGACTGGAAGAAGCAGCCCGTGCTGCAGGCACAGCCGGTCCTGTGCAGCAGGGAGGGCAGGCGCAGCGGGACCTGGGAGCAGATTGCCTTCTGCTCTGCTTTCCTAATTGCCTTCGTAAGCTTTTGGTTCCCACAACATATTCCACAAGCTTCTCCCCGAAGCATAAATCAGGGAGAGGCTTTGGTGGGAACGTGAAGGTATGAACTCAGAGCAGCAGGGGAAGCTGGAGGCTGCTTAGTCTGGTAGCCAGCTCAGCCCATTCCCAGCAGCGCTCAGCCGCATTGGAGCCCTCGCACAAAGCACACGTGCAGAAGGGGCTCCTTTGGGATGGCACAGCACTGCCCTGCTCAGGAATGGGGCCCTTTGTTGGCAGCAGCCCCCAGCAGTTGGCAGCCCTGGTCGTGGGCTGGGTGCTGTGTTTTGGGGAGCTTCATCATCGCCAGGAAGCTGGCAGTGCAGGTTCTGCCCATCTGCAGAGCTGTCCCTTCTGTGCAGGCTGGGGGGGGGAGTTTGTCAGTGATTTATTCTGTGCCGTTATTGGAAGCGATCGCTGGTCAGCAAAACGCCGGAAGGCAGAATGGAGCAGCCTGCAGATGGCTGGGAGAAAATGGGTTCGATTCCTTGAATGCTGCTAAATGGGTGGGGAATAGTTAAGGGCTAATTACAAATCTGAATGGTTTCCAGGAGGAAATAGCATGGGACAGTTAAGGTGCTCTGGGCTGCTGTTACAAACCATGCTGTGCATGTTGGGCTCTGAGCACATCCTGGGGCCGGGCAGGCAATGCCCTGCTCCTGTTCCCCCCATCTGGGTCCTCCAGTTCAGCTTCCATATCCATGAGCTTCCAGCTGGGAAGGAGAGATGAGGTGTCCTTGCTGATGCTCGCCTTTGTTCTCGATTGCAGTGCTGGGACAGCAGCAGCAGCATTGCAGCACTGCAGGGTGAGCTGAGGTCCTTGTGGGGCTGCACTCTGAGCTGCTGTTGGGTGTTTTTCTTGCAGGCACTTTGCAGAGCAGTGCCACGAGGGGAAGGGGCAGCTTGCAGCCCAGCCGCATCCACCCAACAACGGTGGGCCCTCCTTGCTTTGGTTCGAGCTCCAAAACTGATATTCCACAAAGGTAATTTTCTGCTTCTCTGGCTCAATTCTGTTCATCTTTCAGAGGGTAATTAGCATCACTTCAGTGTTCTTTTATGCCCAACTAATTGCACCTTGCTTCAGGAGTGAAAGTTAATGCCTCTCCATTTCGGTTAGCGCAGCAATATGTGATGAGGGGTGAGGCCAGGCAGAAAAGTGAACCACGAGCAGCGCTGTCTGCCTGCTGGTCTGAGGCATTCTGCCTGCACCAGAGGAGAGATTTCCCATCTCACGTCTGAGATGCTCCTTATCAGCGATGCCCCAAGCACAGTGGGCAGCACGCAGCAGTCAGTGCATCATACAGGGCACTGCCACAGGAGAAGGGAAAGGCTGAGCATCACTGAGTGCCAGGGAAGCTCCACAAGCCCAGCAGCCACCGCCTGGCATCTGGAGGCTTCTGGATGGGTGG